ATTTCTACTACATGCAAGGAAAAAGGCCCATTATTCAATTATTCTTCCTATGGATTCTCCTTGAGACATTTACTATATGCAAGACAGAAATTACTGGAAGCTCATCCCCTCCTTTCTTTCAGATATAGCTTCATTTGTTTCCAATTTTTTTCAGTCAGATAGTTGGAAATGTTATTTTGACAAGTTTCCAAAAAAGGACAATTTTTTAGACTTTCGTGGCAAAGCAAATTTCCCAGAACATCTAGGATTTTCTTAAGGCTGACCTGAGACCCTCTTGCTGTAATTGCAGCAAGTTGCTCTCATGTAAGAGATGGAGACATCAGAGTCAGAGGGAACTCCCTGAAAGCAGCCTCTCCTTGAAGGTAGACAGAAATTATTGGTAGTGAGATGGAGCCACAGGCTAAGAGAATATTAGAACTAATTGGGGCCTTAGAGGTCCAAGACTTTCTAAGAAGGAAAGTGAGCTTGAGAGAAATGAGCCATTTCTCTAAGTCACTGAACTATTTCTTTTTAATATTTATTAGAAGCTGTTCACAGTACATAATGATTACATTCACCATGGGGAGTTGGTACATGTAACATAATGTACCTTAATTCTTTTTTTTTTTTTTAAGCTCCTCTTCCCCCTGGCATGCCTGCCCCTTCCATCTCTGTTTAGTAGCAGAGCTAGAACTCGTGTTGAGCTGCTTACTTCCAGGGAGGCAGATCTATAGCAGAAAAAGAGCTTTGAGGGCAGGAAGGTCAGGAGTCAGGTTCTGCCTTTGCTAGCTGTGGGTTGCAGTAGGCACTCAGTTAATATTGCTCCTTTTCCTACCTGGAACCCTGGCTTTTTATCCAGTGTATTAGTTAATGTAACAAATCACACCAAATACAGTAGCAAGAAACAGCAATGCTCATTTATTATCTCTAACAGTTGGTGTTGGTCAGGAGTTTGGGAGCAGTTTGTCTGGTGGTGATGCTTTGGGGGGCGTCTCTTAGGAGGCTGTTGTCAGACATCAGCTGTGGCTTCACAGAGGTGGCAACAACTCAAATTCAAGATAGCTCATTCACATGGCTGACAAATCTGTACCGGCTGTCGTCTGAGCCTCTCAGCTCCTGACATGGGCCTCTTCGGTGGGCAGCTTGAATGTCCTCACCATGAGGCATCTAGACCCCTCAGAGTGAGTGGCCCAAAAGATCGAGGTAGGATCTGCAGTGTGATTTGCCATCTATCCCTAAAATCATCAGACTCTTGCCATTTGCAATCGACCATACAGGGTCAACCCTGGTTAACAGGAGGAGGGGACCACACAAGGGTCCAAGCACCAGGAAATGAGAGTCACTGGGGCCAGCTAACACGGCGTCCCAAGGGTGTGGTCCTGTGCTTGGCTTCACAGTTGTGTCAGATGCACTCTAACTTACTGTGTCTTAAGTGTTGGTGTTTTTAAGTCACTCCTGGATCTGCAAAGAAGGCAGGGAGCTGTATCTCCTTTACTGTCTTCTGGAGTCCTGACATCCTGTTTATAATTAGCCAAATAATAATCCTCACTACTCAGCTAACTCCAAGGCTCATCTGCTTGCTTCTCTAGAGGTTTTTAAACAGACAGGGATGTGTTAATGACATAGTGCGTTATCTGTCTATTACCATTTTGGCAGGTGCCGTGGAGATGTGACTTTCTTAAGGTGGAGTTAATCAGTATTAAAGCAGCATTGAGTCTGCTCTGGTGGCACAGGTGTGAGACAGTGCCAGGTGGCCTCGGTGAGCTGGGGTCTGGAACCCTGTCCTTCCGGTGGCTACTGTAACAGATCAGGGAGCAGAGATGGGTTGATCTGAGATGTTTCGGGAGCTCCCAGTGCCCTTGGCGTAGGTGGGCTCATTTCTACTGGCATCTTCCCATCCCCTCTTCACTCTGAATGTACTAAGTCTGCTCCCAAACTCAGCATTCTTCTCAGGAAAGAAGTGTGAAATGTGATTGGCTGATGACCCTCAAATCAGTGTCAGGCTTGTCCCCCACTGAACCATCTCTGGGGCCCAGAGGACTCACTGCTCACTTGCATATGGATGTGCCTCCCCCTGTATGTTGCAAACCACATTCCCAGCTTTCGTCCCACCCACATTCATGGGTCCTGCGGATTCTCCTGCAGTGAGTGGCGCCCTTACTCCTCCCACCTCCCAAGCCTGAATCCCGAATGCTGTCACACAACGACAAAGAGGGAGGGAGACAGCACCTGGCTTGCGTCTCAGCTGCACTGGGTACAGGCTGGGTGATCTTGGTTTGATGTCCCTTGCTTCTTCTGAAAACATGTAGATGATAGCAGACATAATGTAAGATAGAGAATAGGAGAATTAGGTAACATAGTCAGTGCTTACCTTACGGTAAGAGCTCAAGAAATGCCCAAGAATCCTTAGGCTTTTTGGATTTTAAATATTTCTAAACTCATCCACTGTTTTATTTTGTGTGTGGTACTAGGAATTGCACCCTTTGTACTAGGCTGTATCTCCATCCCTCTTTTTATTTTTTTATTTTGAGGGAGGGTCTAATTAAATCGCTAAGTGACCTATGCCAGGGGAGAAGTTGTGATCCTCCTGCCTCAGCCTCCCAGAGTGCTGGGATTACAGATGTTTTTTTACAGTAGCCATAAGCCTGGCTCTTCATCCTTGCATGGCTGTGTAAGTGCTTCCTCATGAGAATCTGTGCTGCCAGAGACACATTTCAAAGTTTCAATGTGAGTGGCATCGCATATCATATGCCAGCCTAACTCCCACAGCCTCTTCTTTTTTTTTTTGTACCAGGGATAAACTCAGGACCTTGCACTTGCAAGGCAGAGACAGGAGCAGTGCCAAAGCCCCTCGAGCTTAGGAATAACAACCGATTCCACACATGAACTACGGGGATCGGTGAGCTCGACCTACTCTCCTCTCCACCCTCGTTTCTTCCCATTCTCCTCTTATGAGAGTTCCTCTCATGGACCACACTGTCTTTTACCATGCACGCAATTTTCCTTTGTTATAAAAAATTCCCTGCCTTCTCCATGTTCACTGCGGATCTTATTGTTGAGGAAAAAAGGGATCTCATTGCAGAGGTGAAATCGGATGGAGATATTTTATGTCATCCTATCAAATATCTCCTGGGCCTTCACTGGGCCCAAGACTGGAGGTCACACTCGATTGCCCTGTTTCTCAGTTGACTACCTGTGGATGGAGGATTTCTCAGGTCTGGGCTTGGGTTTCCCTGGCAGTGCCCTGTGGCCTCTCCTGCTCTGCTGCCTTTGCCTGCCTCTTGGTTATCTTTGTCCTTTGGTCTCTGTTCAGCCCTGGGAAGCTGCTTCTGGACGTGTGGGGTGAGGCCAGCTTCTCCCCGTCCCCTCCCCTAGTCAAGCCAGGTAATCTCCATGGCCTTCTCCCTCAGTCTGTCAGGCTTTGCTAAAACCACTCGTCATCCCACTGGTGTCAGGCATGACTCCATATCTTTAGTGTTGAATCAGTATGCGAATGGGTTGCTACAGTTTTTCAAGTCTCGGTGCTATGCATATCCACAGGACCTCCAAGCCTGTCTCTGTGTTACTATTTTACTCTTATTTCAGAAATGGTACTTAAATCAAGCTCTTAGCTTGAGTGCTTGGCATTTCCTTTTTAAAAAGTGACATCCAGAATTTGTATTCCCACTCAACAAATCCTTATTGAAAAAACAATTTTTTTTTGTAACAGGAGATCCAAAGTTAACTCTGAGATAGTCCCTGGCTTCCTATTGTGAAGGGAATTTTCAGCCAGCAATTAAATGCGGTATCAAACATTTGTTATATAGATGAATAAATAATGAATGAGTGTTTCATCTTAAAGAAAACGAGCCTTTTAACATAATTGTTTAGACAATGAAATGTGTGTGTTACTGCGTTGTTGGAAACCTCCTTCAAATTAATTAATTAATTAAATAATCCATTCAGTTTATAACTATTGATCATGTGCTATATCTTAAGTTACTGGATGTACTGAACAGTACTGAATAGTTCTGGATGGGAGCCGTTAACCCCGCCCAAATCGTGGAAAAATATTATTGGCCCTTCACATCCAATGACCCGTCAACACAAGAGAGCTATTTGCAATGCAAATGTGAAGTCACCAGCCTCTGCAATAAACAGGCAGAGGAAACAAACACTGCGAGCTTCTTGGGAGAAGATGTTTAGCAGTTTTGATGAATTACAAAAAAATGTGAGAACTTCTAACTTGTCTTCTCTGTCCAAAGTGGGCAGCGTCCGCCTGTACTTGGGAAGGACTCCCGAATGCTGGCCTCTGTAAACCAAGCACTGTCTGCCTGTAGACCAGTCATTTTTTTTTCACAGTACTGAAAATTGAAGCCATCCCTGAGCTACCTCCTCCAGCTCTTCTTTTACTTTTTCTTTTTGAGTCACTAAGTTTGTCAGGCTGGACTTGAACTTGAGATCCTCCCACCTCAGACTCCCAGGGTGCTGGGATTACAGGTGTGCATCGCCACACATGCTCAGATCAGTAATTTTGAGGCTTTACGGGACATATTCCCTTTGGAGAATCTGTTCAAGGCAATGACTCCTCTTCCCAGGAAGCTGTGGACTCAACAGGCTTTGTGTTCGTGATCAGGGATAATTCCCCGGGAGGCCAGGGTTGGGGTGGACTTTGCGATGGACTCACATGTCTGGTTTACCCATGGCCCCATAAACTGTTTCCATTACTGTGGACAGAATGTGTGTCTGTGAGCAACGGCGTGACGGGACCGAGTGCCAAGGGTACATACAGGCACCTGTTGGTTTGGTTTCTGGTGCACTTAGGGGTGCCCCAAAAAGGGACAGCAACTTTGGACCTACACAGTAATCACAAAAGATTTTCTGATGTGTTTATTATATTGCAGCTAGATTTTATTTGTTGGAGCAAAGAGATCCAGAGGTAAAGCCTGGAGAGCCCTGCTAATGTGGGGCAAAGTGGACACTAATCATTGAGTAGAGCATCACGGACGTAATTCAATCAGGGCTGACAATGAGGAGCCTCTCAGTCAGGCCTGGGTTGGGGAGAGGCCGACAGCATGGCTCAAGCTCCTGCTCTCTCTCCTGCTGCTGCTCATGACATAGCCAGGCAGGCTGGGGACAGCAGCATCTTTCTGTTGGTGTCAGCCCAGCTTTCAGAACCTCAAGTCCTGCATTTCCTTCCTTTTAATCACAGCCCCTCCCTCCCCAGGAACCTGTCCCAGTTTCCTCGAAGCACTGAGCTAGAAGCTGATTTGAAGGATTCTCCATTCACCCTGCCTCAAGCTTTCCCCCCCAACTCCTTGTTGAAGGAAGACTTTCTTGGAATGACGTGGTTAGATGTCAACCCGCCCAGCCTGGCCGTTGTACCCAGCAACTCCACCAAACCCTGGCTGGCCCAGTACTTGTCCTGTACAGACCCGAGGCCATGCCAGGAAGGGTCAGAGTTGCGCAGAGATGCTGTTTGTGAGAAACCTGATTGCTCTGTGCCTGGTTTGTGTCTGAGCACTCTTATCCTTGTTATCCTTGAAGTCCCCAAGTATTTTCCAGCCTGGCTCTAAATGTATGGTGGCTCTGGTGACATACTGCACCTGCCAGCCACTCTGACACTTCCTCCAAGTGGCAGAACCTCAGTCCAGGGCCAACGAAGCTGCCACAGTCAGGTCTGTGAACTTACCCATCCAGATTATGCCACCCCAGGCGTTCACAATTCACTATTTTAGCTTCCCAGGGTTTGATAAAATCCCAGCTTTTACACTACAAGCGTAGCGTAAAAGTGGCTGTTTGAAATAAATTAGCAGCTGCTGTCATACCCAGCTGGCAGGGAGCCAGAGAAGGAAATTAAACTTTGCATTTCCCCAGCCCTCCCACCTCCTGTTAACCGATCGATTCTGTTCCGAGTGTGCCTGTGAGTGCTAAGTAAGTCTTGTCACTTGCCAGGACCCAGGCACTCAGAGTTCTGTGTAAATTCAGATGCCCATTGAGCCCTCTGCCAACTCATCGACGGGTCGTGGGAGCTCTAACGCTGTCCCATGGAGAGGGATCCTTGCCTGCCCAGTGTCTGATCCCAAAGGGGCGTGGGGCCTGTGGAGAGATGGAAAAGGGGTGTGGTTGCCAACATCCCAGTTTGACTTTGCAGTGATAGAACATGATTTATAAAAGCAGGAAAGTGACATATGTCAACTGTTTAAAAAAGCCTGTGAATCATAAATTATGGATCTTTTTATTCCATGAAAATAAAACCATGACTTTTTTATTGAAAGAAGATAAAAAAATGTACTATTTTCCTATGGAGATAACCACCACTACCATGCCCACGGGATTTGTATTTTCTGTTATCAACCATTTTGTCCAGACTGCCTCTTGACCCAGGCCTGCTAGGGCCGCAGGAACAAGGAAGTCCAGGCTGGGATAAATGCCCACTCAAGAGAAGAGCCTACAGCAAACCCGGGGGCACAGCTCACACACATTCATCCACTTATTAATCAACTCATCCAGCATTTACTCTTGTTGTGTTTCCAGAATTATTTTGTGCTTGGGATTCAAAGATAAAGGATTTAATCTCTACCCTGAAGAACTTTACTATTAGCGAGGAGACAGGGAAAGAATGCAGCTTTTGCAGCGACAAGACGTGGTTGCAAGTCCCAGCTCTACCTCCCAGCAGCACTAGATCCTTGAGCAAGTCCGTGGCCACTCTGAGCCTCCATCTCCTCATAAACAAGGTGGAGGACAATGAGAACCAGGGCGAAGGGATGGCGAGGAGGAAGTGCAGTGAGGCCATGAGAGGTTTTGTGAGGGAGCAGTGAATACTGGCTCAACGGGATTTAATCTGGGCCACCAACCGGGTGGAGAGCTGGGCAGGCCGATCAAGGCCTCCTGCACATCTCTGTGACACCTGCCTGCCCTGCAGTGGGACCTGGGATCCTACGCTCTCAGAGCGGTAGGAGGGAGCCGGACACACCTTCTGTTTCTCTGCCTGCTGGACTTAACTTCTGCGGCCATGAGTCCTTTGATCTGTTAGACTTGCCTACTTCACTCACCTGGAGCCTTGGGAGGGACTGTTCTACTCAGAGGTAGTATGAAATCCGCTGCTTTATTATTTATGACTTTTGTTCTGGAAAAATTCAAACACTGATAAAAATGGAGAAAACACAGGTTGAGTGTCCTTTATCTGAAATGCATGGGAGCAGAAGTATTTTGAATCCTGAATTAAAAAAAAAAAAGATTAGGGAATATTTTTATCTATCTTGAGGGGACCCAGGTCTAAACACAAAATTCATTTATAGTCTACACATCTCCATGTAGCCCACAGGTCATTTTATAACCTAAATAATTCTATGCATGATACAAAGTTGGATGGTGTAGAATTTTCCCCCTGTAGTATCATGCTGGTGATCAAAAATTTCTGGATTTTGGAGCTTTTCAGATTCTGGATTTTTGGAGTAGGGATGTTCACCATGTACCCATCCCCCAGGGCCAACCATCACCAATACAAATCCAACCTGTTTTCATCTTTGTCCCCATCTGCTCCTGGATTATTTTAAAGGGAAGTACAGTACTTATTTAAAATAACAATCATGGGCATTATACCTAAAATTGAAAAGATCTTTAATATTGTCAAGTATTTAGTGAGGGTTCACTTTCCCCCAGTCATCTCGCTCATGGGTTAGGCGGGTTGATGCTGGTCAGGGTCTGCAGAAGGTCCCCACACACATGCTGCTATCTCTTCATCACTCGGGAAGCTGCTCAGGATGACCCAGAGGGAGGGAAAGCTGCTGATGCAGGAGAGTGAGAGAGGAACCAGTGGACTCAGGGTTCAGAGCTCAGTAGAGAAGGAGACTTCAGAGGGAAAGTGAAGATGCTTTCCCTTTCCGTCTTCACCAAGGAGGAGGCTGGTTGTGTGGCTTCAGAGGCAGCAGATGGAAGGCAGAGCCATTCTCATCTATTGCTGCTATTTTCTCCATAAAATGTGTTGGAAACTCAAAAGTTGCTTTGAGTTGTGGAGAGGGAAGACTGCTGTGACCTTCCTTCTCAGGTGATAGATAAGGAGAGCAAGGTCAGAGAAATGATTTGCCCAAAGTCCCGGAGCTAGTTAACGATGGGTTTCAGAGCAGAACTTAATGCTCCCATTTCTGACACTGGTGTTTTCATGGATTGGACACTCAAGGAATAATGGGGAAACGGTGTCCCTAACGATGGTCAATTCTATTCCTACAATTGGCTTGGGTTAGTCTGCGTGTGGGACAGCTTAATTAGAAAACATTTTATTAGTCCGTGTTTGCAGTTGACAATGATTACGTTCACCAAGGGGTCTGGTACATGCACATAATACGCCTTCATTTTCCCACCACCTTTCCCACCCCTCCGTTTCCTCTCCATCCATCTCTCCGTCCTCCGTTTTCCCCAAAAGATCTCTTTCCTATTATGTATCTTTTATTTTGTTCTTTAATGTATTTATAGTTCGGGCTTCTCATATAAGAGAAACCAGGTGATAATTAACTTGTGTTTGTTTCACTTAACATTATGGCTTCAGGTGTATTCATTTTGTTACAAATGACTCAAATTTACCCATTTTTGTGGTATTGTAGTACTCATTATATATAATTACTACATTTTTGTTATTCATTCACCGTCATGGGCATGTAGGCCATTTCCAAGATTTAGTTAAGTATTGTAAGTTTTGCTGCTATAAACGTGGATATTCATGTTTCACTGTAACATGATGTTTTAAACTCTTACAGGAAGATATCTAACAGGGGAATAAATGGGTTGAATGAAATTTCTATTTTTGGTGTTTTGAGGGGTCTCCGTACTGATTTTCAGAGTGGTGTATTAGTTTACATTCCTATACGCAATGTAGAAGCAACCCTTTTTCCCTGCAGGCTCACCAACATTTGCAATGATTTGGTTTTTTGGTGATAGTCATTTTTTCTGGAGTAAGATAGAATCTCAGTGTTATTTTGATTTACATTTCTCTAACAGCCAGCGGTGTATTTATTGGCCATCTGTACTTCTCCCCCCTTGGAGAAGTGTCTTCATTTCAATTGCCCATTTTTATTGGAGGGATCTAATGTTTCGAGTTCTTTGTATAGTCTAGATATTAGTTCTCCGTTAGAACAGTGGCAGGCAAAATTCGCTCCCCATTCTATAGGTTGTCTCTTCACCCTGTTGGGCAGCATGATTGAAATCCAAAAGCTTGGTCAAGGGTGAGACTCCTGATCATAGAACTTCAGATTTAAAGATGAATCTCCAGTAGCCCCTGAGGTCCAGGCTCATTGCTACAATACCCCCTGCAGCCTTCTCTGGTCCTTCAATAAATGGTCATCTAGCCATTTTCTGATCATGTGCAGTGACTGGTCACCCCCCATCTCTCGAACAGGGCCCCCTACAGTGGGACGTCTGTAATGGCACGATGACATCAGCTAATGTTGTATGGAAAGCTGCCTCCCTGTAATTTCTACCCACGGAGCCTAATTCTGTCTCTGGAGCTACACAGTGAGACTCATCCCTCTCCCTCTCCAATAGCCCTTCAGTTGCTTGGAGATGACTCTCAGATTCCCCTGCTGAGCAGGGATGTTGTATCTGGACTGGAGGGCGGGCAGGGTACAGTGCGGGCGGGCGGAGCGAGCCTCTGCTTTTGACTTGTTCTGTGCATTACAGAAAATACATTCTGCTATCTCTTCCATTTTCTAGTTCTTTTTATTTCAATGCCCTGGGACCCCAGTCAAGCTCTCTATTATACCCTGCTTCTCTTCCAAGGATCTTGCCTGTGCCCTCCCGGTGCTCCAGGCACATCCCAGGGGCTACTTGGTGGAGACATGCTTCTCCCTTCTCTGTGGGGGCCCCAGAAGGAGCTCCCCGGTGTCATTTGGGTTCCTCCTTCCTCCACTCACTGGCAGAAAACCAGAAGAAATCAGACTTGGGGAAGCCACCTCAATGCAGCAGTCAGAAGGGAATCTTGGGGGCATATCTACCCCATCTCTTTCTATTCAAATCCTCCCCACACATAGAGGCCCACCTCAGACCTGCTCATATGAGAAGTCCTTCCAAAGAACCCCAATTTATGTTAGCCCCCCCTTTTTTTTCAATTTTCATCTTGATAGCAGTGGCATATGGGAGGAGGGCGTGGTCAGGCCATCTGTTGCCGTGTGGAGGAACAGTTTACAGATATTTTCCAGAGTTGTGATGGCGGTGATGCCTTCAGTCAGGCTATTGTAGATCTGTGCAGATTGCACCTTCTCTGTGCTGGCAGTGTGTGTGTGTGTGGGGAGTTGTGTGCTCCTGTGCACCCCGCCCCTTGCACACCACCATTTCATGGATTACTCACAGCTTGCTGTGAAGTTTCTGCAACTGTTTCTTCGCCTTGTTTTTCTCCTTCCATGGTGGGATCAACCAGCGATGGCTGGGATGTGTCCTGCTGCTTTACCCCATTCCTTCTGGGCCAGGCCCAAGCCTGGAGATACCACTGCTGCTTAACCCGTGATTGTCTGGTCTCCTGAGTGAATGCTTGAAGGGGCCACCCACAGAAACACATTGTGATCATAATCTTTTCTTTCGAAGTCCTCTCCAGCTTCGAGGAGGAGAGGGATGGAATGAGGGTGTGGATGCGTGAACACAGAACCCTGCAGGCCTGCGCCCCTGGCTGACTGCACAAGAAGACAGATGTGATCTGGCAGGCTGGACTGCACCTACCCAGAATCCTCCAATTTAATTAGGGGCAGAAATCTGACTTTGGCTTCTCTTCTCTCATCCTTCCCCTTCTTCACCCCCGCCTTCCTTTCCTAATTACTTTGATGGGATTTCAGCGGCCAGGGCATTCCTTTCCTGACCCCAGCAGTCCATATGATTGCATTTTGATTTTGCTTCGGCCAAGCCCTTGACCTACTATAATTATTTTCCCAAAATGCCTGCGAGGTAATTATCTGCAGGGCATGTACAGAGGATCTGTCAGCTTTTGATGGAGCCAGGGCTCTGCAGGGTCTGTCTGCTGGTTGGGGAGCAGGGGCTCTGCCTGGGTAGTTTTGAATCACTCCTGCAGGCTCTCAGCATGTAGGGGTTTAGCAAGGGCCTCATCTCTTACAAAGCCTGGGTGTCCATGAGTAACACCAGTAAGCAAGAGTGAGATCTTAGCGGACAGTCGTTCCAAACATATGGTGGCCATGCTTTCTGGGGGTGAGGCCACGCGGAGAAGCAATTTTGTTCTGTTATTTTTTCAATTCATACCCTCATCTACCCAACATCTGATGACCCCTACTGTGTGTTCTGGGCATCGTGCCTCTGAGTAGGAGATAGAGAAAGGACAAGCAAACTAGAGAAAGCCACAGGACGAAGAATCGAGAGACCAGACAGAACACGGATGACTCAAAGTATCACAAAATCAACAGATAAAGGCCGCCTTGTGGCCCTGAGACCTGTGTGCAAACACACAGGTACACGACCTTGGCCTGCATCCCACCTCATTGGCACTGAGGACTTCGGGGGCCGAGACACTTCCTCTCAGAATCCTGTGTGGCGAGTACGCCTCCTCCCAATGGGAGGGCTCAGTCGGGAACCCCGCTGGGCCACGATCCCCCTCAGTCCTCTACTGTGGATTCGCCTATAATCCCAGGAAATTCAGAGACTCAGTGCCTGGCCCTCTCCAGGCTGGCAGCTCTCTTCACTGACCTCTTCCCACCCTGTACCTTTGCTTCTTTCACCTTTAATCGATCTTATTCTTGCCACCCCGGGGTGTCCTGCTCAATTCTTTGTTCTCAACACCGAGGATCTGAAATCCACTTCCCAGGAGCCTTCTATCCTGTAACATGCCTGATACAAAAATAAGTAAGACACTACCTCTGCCCTCGGAAACAACCCCATGGACAGCTGTATTATAATCTGGGAGACGCGGGTCAAAAGCTGTAGGAATGAAGGGACAGGAGAGGCAATTGGCCTGTAAACAAGGGAGTGGGGAGGTCTCCTCGACAAAGGCTGTGTTGAAGGGTATGTTTACTCAAAGCAAGGATTTCGTTTGGACACAGGGAGATGGGGCGGGAGCAGCCCACTGGGCGGAGTGTGCAGGATGCTCCCGAGGCGGCTGCAAGGCCTCTACAGGAACCTTGCCAACCTCCCGTTGGCACCCCC